CAAGTAAACTTGAATATGATTCAACAATAGCATTCCAAATAAAATTCTTTTTAATGTGCACTTTAATTAGAATTCTCAATTACCTTCAACAAAAAATCCAGGTCATGTCCAAATTCTAACAACGTTTTCAGGGACGATGCTTGGCATTTGATTTGATTTGATTTTGTTAGTGATGAGATTTGAGGTGGTGAGTCAGGGTAAGGTGGTCCTGACCGTGGAAACTAGCTATGGATGAATATAACATAGTTTGTTACATGTTTAACAAAAAATGTAATATGGTGTGTTACAATTGGTGAGAAATGTAATCCTTTATTATTTGTAATTAAAAAAATTAACAGTATTTTTAAAAAATTATTTTAATAGTGTATTTGTGCATACTTCCCACTTACAAAGCCCACGTTTCAGTTTTTGGTGTAGTTCTTCGAATATAACACAAGTTTGAGCCTCATTCTTTAAAACTCATTTTTATTCAAACTCATTTTCAACCGCTCATTCTCCTAAAAAGAAGTACTTTTGCGCGTAAACTCTTTTTTCTATATTTTAATATCACATTTTCCCAAAAAAATAAAAAATTACTCTCTTACCAAATCTATTCCAAAAATGAGGCTCAAACCAGTGGCATAATCATCCTTGCATGACACACTCCACCTAGGGGTGGTAATGGACATGAGCTTGAAAATCCTTCCAACCTAGTTTTTAGAACATCCTTTTATTGATACGGGGTCATTTTTTACATAATTAATTGATGTGGCTGACTGGTCCCTAAACTTCTTATATATAAAGTTTCCTTTCTATGATGGTCATTTCTTATGATGGTAATTACTTTTTACCAAATCTATTTAACAGACTCAATGTTTATAGCCTAAACTTCTTATATTTATTTATTTATTATTATTATCTTTTTGATATCCAGATATCCTAACTTACACCAGACTATGTCCTGGACCACCCATTCCCAGCCCCTCAGTGATGGGTGTTCTTATATTTATTTTTAATTGTATATTGCATGTGTTTATAAATTAATTTTTCCCGACAAGTTTATATAAGAATCGTCTTCGTACATTTAAAAAATGTGGAATGGTTGTATTAGAGCTTCAACGAATTTGTTTCATGAGAAATTATATCCAAAAAACACTGTGATCCTATTATTTACAAGCAGAAATAAACAGATGGTAAGGTTTATATCGAAACAATTTCATTCCATAGGTTGCAAAATAATGAACAGGCACTTAACGTTAGAACTACCATAGTTATTACAGAAAGGAGAGGCATCGATAGGCAGTGGCGGGGTCCCATGTTTTGGATGGGTCTGCACCTATATATAATTAAACATTGGATTGGGCCTGGTTAATTGAAAAGCATAGGCCTAACTAAAACAAATTATGATTTCAGCCCAACCTAGACAAAAGGCCCAATTACAATACAAAAAAAGGAAAGTGGAAATTGCACTAAACCAGCTATTTAATTTTGACTCTTAAAAAATCAAGTTTTTACTTTATTTAATCAAAAATCAGGTTTTAATTTCACAATTAATATTAATAATAATATTTTTAAATTAAATTAAATATATACCCACCCTACTACCTACCCCACCAACTTTATTTAAATATAAAACCCAACCAAAATCTAATTCATTCCATTTCATATCTCTCATCTCTATCGACGCCGTCGCCTCCACCGCCCGCTCCGGCCACCGCCCCTCCCCCCCTCTGCCGTTTCTCCCCCCTTGCTGATGGTCGCAGCAGCAGCAGCGTCGCATGCAGCTGCTGCGATTTGCAGCGATCGCAGCAGTGATCTGCTGCTGCACGTGCAGCAGCAGCAGCGTCTCAGGCACTGCTGCTGCAACGTGCAGCAGCAGCATCGCGTGCAGCAGTAGCGCCTGAGACGCTGGTGTGCAGCGTCGTGACGCTGTGGCTGCTGCCGGATCTGCATTTTTTTTTCTTCCTACTACCACCAGCGTCGCGACCCTATGGCTGCTGCCGGATCTGCATTTTTTTTTCCTACTACTAGATCTTGGGTTTTTGAGTTATGGTGATATTGGGTTTTTATTCATTCTCAAATCTTGTTAGTGATTTGCACATTGTGATTTTTTTGAAAATGAAAATGGTGAGGTGGTGATTATTTTTACGTTTTGGTGGTGTTG